GGGCAGGGGTGGGGACTGGGTGGGATTTAAGGTCCTCCCAACCCAAACCATTCTGTGGTTCCATGATTCTGTATTGACCAGAATAGAAATCGCATCAGTGCTGTGACAAATACAAAGTTTACCCTTTGGGGAGGAAAGCCCGTGGTCCTTGTAGGCACGTAATGAGAGAGGGAGGTCTCTGCAGATTTGTTTTCAGACTGAAAAAAGCTCTAGGTCACGAATTTACTGGGTCTGAATTAGGTCCTTAGCCCCTCAACTGAGCAGAGTTGTACCCTCCGTCGGGAACAGGCTCTCTTCTGTGGTTCAGCCAGAAACGTGTTGTGGAAGCTTTGCCTTTTCATCTTCGTTACAGTCTGAGGGACAAGTTCTGAAGGAAGCCGCGTACATCAACAAGTCCCTGTCATTCCTTGAGCAAATCATCATTGCCCTGGCTGATCCCAAGAGGGACCACATCCCCTTCCGGCAGAGCAAGCTGACTCACGTTCTCAAGGACTCGCTAGGTACGAGCTGTGGATTCATTACAACAGCCCCACACAATTCCTAGAAAACGGCCTTTCCGAGCCTTTTCAGATGCTCCTGCATTACCATCAGGCTACGGATGATAAACCCAAAGCTGGGGCGGATTGTGAATCCGCAGGAAAGGCTTATGCTCTTGGAATGCAGGCTGGAGACCTGGGAGGAGAGAGCAGCCGGAGGCGGGCTGTGGGCGTTGGTGCGGGGTAACCCAACTTGCCAGAACTGAGAGCGTGGTTCGAGGCGTTCCGAGCACCAGCCTGGCCTTGCTTTTAGGAGAGGCAGGGGCTGTGTCCTGCCAGGTTCTCCGCTGTTAGATTTAGGCCAGAGGCTTTTAAAATCCTCTGCTCTGGTTTTCCCGTTACCAGGCTTTCACAGTTGGTATTCCCATCTTCTTACATCATCGTCGCCACGTGGGAAGCACATTTTCCCTTCATCCTTCAGTCGTTCTGTGCCAGAGTGTTTCTGTACCCATGGGAACCTTAGAGGGACAGTTACAAGCTGGCTGTGTTCTTTGTTCCTGCTTTTTCTCTGTTTTAGCACATAATATAATACATTCCAGGAAAGGAAACAGCAACAACAACAACAAAAATCCCCCGAATCATATTATTTCCTTTTTTAAAAATTGTATCTTTTCCCAGGGGGAAACTGCAATACTGTCCTCGTGGCAAATATCTGTGGGGAAGCTGTGCACGTGGAAGAGACGGTAAGTCACACCGATTTCTGCACAATCAAAGTCTTGGGCCTGCTACCGTTGCAATTGGCCGGAGCTGGGTTGAAAGAATCGTCTCTGGAGGGCTGTGGCAGGAGTCCCAGGGAAACATCCTCTCTTAATTCCTCAGAAACGCTGGATAACTCCTCTCAAAGGCTCAGAAAACAGGTTACTCTTGCCCATCCGCTTTGTGATGCAGACGAGTGGTAATGGGGAACCTGAAATGGAGCAGGCACGAGCAGCTACAGTCAAAGCACACTGGCTAGTCTTAATTATTACCGTTACTGGCTAGTGTTAATTATTACCGTTACTGACTAGTGTTAATAATTAACATTGGTTCAAGTCTACCACTGGGTGTGAACGGTACATCCATAATGAGGTTGATGGAATTGCAAGGTTCACATCGGAGCTGAGCTGCCTTTCAGCTGGTTTAGGAATCAGAAGTAACCTCCTAACCTGTGAAATAATGAAGCGTCCAGCTCTGGGGCCCCCAACA